ATGTAAATTTCAGGAGCGGACCAATCAAAATCATGACCATTATCCAATTTATGATTACTAATGACTGAATAATACTAGTGTGTAACTTAATGTTATTAAAATGTTCTTTTATACGTGTGCCTAATTGTCGTTTAGTCTGACCGATGTATAATGAGGAACAATTTGCGCAGTTAATTTTGTATACTATTCCTGTTTTTTTCTTTAAAGATAAAGGATCTTTGACACGTTTAATTAGTGTATTCAATTTTTTCGGTATACAATAAACGCTTTGCATGCCTATAGATTATAATAATCTCGAAACGTCTTCACTTAGTTCTTTGACGTACGGTAATTTTATGATGTGGTCAAATTGTTTATTAACTAAATTATTGTTGTCAACATTGCGATCGTCGTTATTTCGTATCTCAAGCAATTTTAGCCTATTTTTTACAAACTTATTAACCACATTCGACGGAAAACCATTGTTCATGAGTATCGATTTTACTTTAGCGATGTTCACTTGATGAAAACTGTCGTCCGATAATAAAATCGCATGATCGACAAGACTAAAAATGGCATGCATATATAATAATTATTCAGTCATCAGTAATCATAAATTGGATAATGGTCATGATTTTGATTAATTCACTCCTGAAATTTTACATCATGAGAAATATGTACGAAAACGAGAAATCGCGGTAATGCTTCTTATCAAAAATTTGACAACACAATCAATTTACAAAAAGACACGCATAATCTAAATATTGTTTACGAAAAACTAATAAAGGTCGTTTAGTTTGATCAAAGTAATGAGTATATAAAGAGAGCTTGAAACCGACACAATAATATAGTTAATTGTTTCACATTATTGTTTTATTATATCTTGTCACATTCTAAGATCAAAAATTAAGGTTTTTTTAAAAAGTTATGTTTAAGTAGGTTTACATATTAATGTGTGGAAATATTTATCGTTTTATTATAGTTACTTTGTTACTTTTTAATTTTTTAATTTTCTAATAATTGTCATTATTATATATTATAGCACTTGATATAAGGGCCGAAACCCATGGCCGAAACGTCGTGAATATTGAATAAAGATCACTTAATTTGCCAGAGTTGGTAGAATAAATTAAATTAATTATTAAAAAACTAAAAATTAATTAAACGACTTAGACTTAGATGATAATAATAATGAAACATTTTATTAAAAAAAGATTCAATAACTAGTAGGTCATGTTATAATTTTTTATTTATTTATCTATAACATTATGAGCTATTAAGCTCATCATCTCGTTCGCTCTCTATGTCTTGCTTTCATTCGGCAAGTCACAAACGGATTAAAATAAAGATAAGAAAAATCGCGAATCATCTCAAACAAAATTTCGGAGCTCTGATAATCGAATAGATATATGATACTCGTATGTTCCTACTTCAACTCTCGAGAATCTGAAACAAAAGAAACTCGTGTCCAATATATATATTATATAAAAGTGTATAGCACTTCACTTGGCAGTTTATCCGAGGCTGTGAAACAGTAAAGATCGAGGCTAGCAGAAGTAGCAGATTAAAAGTTGAGTAAGTAGTAATTAATTAATATTATATATATTCGTATTTACGCGCGCGCGCGCGTGTGTGTGTGTGTGTGTGTGTGTGTGGGTGTATGTAGGTGAAGAATATATATATATATATATATTCATTAATTTATTTTTATATATATATATATATATATATCGTAACCAGATTACAAAATTCGTCGTTTTATAAAATGTCTAGATATTTTATTAAATGCGGCCACATTCTCAAATTATGGTATATTGAAAATGAAATGTTTTTCAATCTGGCTAAGAATTTTAGTCTTTTTATAAAAAGGACCCGCATTGTCAAACGCAACGATTGTTTGTACATTTATTTTAGATTCTGATGGCTAATTCACTTTAGTCATTTAATGAACGGTATGACTGATGTTATTTTAGTATTTTTATAAAATTTTTAATATTTTTATAAATTTTATAAATTATAGTACTTTTTATAAAATCTAATTAACACATTTATTACAGTTGAGATTTTATGATAAGTAACATGAGTCTTTTGTTTATAGAAAATTAATAGAGATAAAACGCGTCGTTCATATTAAATGACTGAAGTGAACCAGCCAGAATTTAAAATGACGTACAAATCATTGAATTTGACAATGTGGCGATGAGTTTCTTTTCATATATAAAAACTAAAATTCTTAGCCAGATTATAAAATATTTCATTTTTAATCATAATTTAAGAATGTATGTGGCTGCACTTAATAAAATGGCTAAACGTTTTATAAAACGACGAATTTTGTAATCTGGCTACAACATTTATATATATATATATATATATATATATACAGAGTGTCCGGTGACTCATGTTCCAACTCTCGTAGATAGGTAGAGTGGGCCAAACCGAGACGAAAAGTCCTGTATCATTTTACGAAATTCTTAATAATTAATGATTTATTCATAAAAAACGTCGGCCAATTGTACGCGTCTTCACTCGGAGGTGGAAACGTCACTAGGCGCCCGGCGCCGTCATTAAGCGCGCTGGGCGGAGCGTTCGACAAAAGACAAGCCCGATCAGGACGGCTATGTATGTGCTTATAAAGTGAAGGCTTGACAAATTATTTTTTACAATTTTAAAATTTCGACATCATATTTGGTAATGTACTATAAAAAATACGTAAAATTACTAATAAAAAATAAGTGAAAATTACATAATAAATAATAAAAAAAATATTACATTTATTGTTAATGTAATTTTACATAATTTTTTGTATCTCGAAATTCAGAATGCAAGAAACATTCGATGCAAATTACACGATAATACTCGGATACGTTTAGTCGAAATTTTAATATGAATAACAAATAATCATTTTCTCAAGAGACATCTCTCTCTCTCTCTCTCTCTCTCTCTCTATCTCTCTCTCTCTCTCTCTCACACACACACACACACTCACACTCTCTCTCTCTCTCTCTCTCTCTCTCTCTCGTGGCATATTTAATCATCCTTTCCTCACCACCTTGCGGTAGATAACATGGCGCATTTTTTTTTAAGTGATATCCCTAATAGGTCTAATCCACTCTCATATTTTAATTCAACAGTTGTTCGAAGTGATTTCCTCCTTCGCGCGAACACAATTCGGCTCTTCAAACCATATTTCGCGTAGCGCGATACGCCATTTCCGGCGTGATGCTATTAAAAGCAGCGAGAATTGCTTCTCGTACTTCTGCTTCTGTGCTATCACGCCTGTGCACGACTAAATTTTTAATGTGACCCTACACGAAATAGTCGAGCACATTGAGATCTGGCGATCGCGCCGGCCAAATAATTGGTCCACCTCGACCGATCCACATGTCGGGATAGTGCGCATTTAAAAAATCGCGCAGTTGACGTGCGAAATGCGCAGGTGCCCCGTCATGTTGGAAAATGAGGCCTGCTCTTACATCGAGAGGGACATCCTCGAGTGAATCACATAACTCATTTTCCAGGAAACGTCGGTAGAATTCACCATTTAGTCGCGGCGGTAAGAAATAAGGGCCGATCTAAAAAAACGTCACAAAAGAATTTATTAAAGTTGCAATGGAAAATTTCTTAATTAATAAGAAAATTTATTATTTACAATTTGGTTTCCAATTATTCCTGCCCACACGTTTGTGGTCCACCGATACTGAAATGCCTATTGTCGAATAACGTGCAAGTTTTTTTTCCGCCCAATAATAATTTTGGCTATTAAGTACGCTGTTCGGTGTAGGTAAACCTCGCTTTGTCTGTCCAGAGAATGCAATCCGGAAAAGATTATCTCGCCGGCATTGAGCATAAAATCCTACGCATTTTCATAGATTGTTGATATTTATTAAATTTTTAATAACGCGAAAACACGAAATAAACATGAAAAAAATATCTTCACAAAAGTAGACGTGCGATGCTCTATTCTCGATAAAAGTTGTACCCGCTGAAAATAATACGGGTGCAATCCGTTTTGGCGTAGAGTACGGTGCACCACGTATCGCGAGAGACCGAGTGTCCGAGCTGCACGGCGCACATTGTTCCGGGGATTCTCTTTGAACTTTCTCAGAATTCTTTCTTCCGCGTTTACATCATAATGCAATGGTACATTTGCATTTCGACGATTTGGAAGAATATTTCCTGTCTCGCACGTTGAACACATCTTAATATGGTGAGAAGGATATCGCTCACGCCCGGGGAATCTCTCCGCGTAAATGCAAACCGCGGCACGAGCCTTTTCTCCGATTAATTCGTACGCAATAATTATACCAGTATACTCCTTTGTAATTATTGTATTTCATTTCTTATCAGGCATGTGTGATCGCGACCGAATGCAAGGCATAAGCATTTTAAACAAATAAATGTTTGTAAGCTGGTAACATTTGTTTCGTTATTCATTTGTTATCATTTTCTTCTTTATCCCGTTGTTTCTCGACACTAGTCGCTGCCCAGCATTCGACGTATACGTAGGGATGTTCCGATACCATAAAAGTATCGATACCTACTCAAATGAGTAGTACTCAAATCGTCTGAGCGATACTACTCATATGAGTACTCCAAAAGTATCGATACTTACTCATATCGATATTTTTTCATTTTTTTATGCAAATAAATTAATGCTGAATGTATATGATATTTACTTGAGTGTTTATTTTATATAGTTTAATAAAACACGTTAAATACTTTTATTTCTTTATTAATAATAATTGTTAAACAAAAAAATCATCTTTTGAAAGATTTCCCAAAAAGAGCAATTGCTCTAAATATTTAGGAGACAACTTATTTCTGTTTTGAGTCATAGTTGCACCAGCTTTTGAAAATAAGCATTCACTAGGCACAGATGTTGCAACGATGATAAGATATTGTTGAGCATATTTGTACAAACGAGGAAAAATGACTTTCATGTCTTCTGCAAATGAGTTGTTCTTCAAAGATATTACAGGGTTTGATAAATAAAGAGATATTTCATCACTTTGGTGCGTTTTCTATTTCTTTTTGTGACCATGCACTAGCTCTTTATGATATTTCCAAAAGTCATATTCCTGTGTTACACTAGACGAAGCATCTTCCTCCGAACTTGGACTACTTTGTTGCTCATAAATCATACTTTTGAGTTTTTGTATAGCTTGCCCGCATGCTGCTGGATCTTGAAAATGCAGGTTTTTAAACCTTGGATCCAATAAAGTAGCAATGGCTGCATGGTCATTGCATTCAATTAATCCATACCTTTTCGTCAGCTCTCTCAATAAAACTTCCTTGCATTCTTTTACAATTGGTAAGACTGGTGTGATACTATTAAGTTTGGTTGACAAACAATTAATCATTGGTATAATTTTGGATATCGTGACATACTTTTGTCCAGATGCTTCTCTTGTGACGTATTCAAAAGGCTTTAATAAAGCTGTAAGTTGGTTGAGTGTTTCCATCTCTACAGCAGTTGGCATGTCGGGTGCTGAAACACTTTCGATTACGATTTCAGATATCACTCTTCTCAAATGTAAGAAGCGCTCCAACATGAAAAAGGCCGAATTCCATCTTGTTTTAACATCAGCAACAAGTTTCAAAATTGAACCTTCAGGAATATTGTTTTGCATTTGAATTTTTTTTAATTTGTCTGGCTGCACAACACTATTTTTTATCCAATGCACAATTTCTCGAACTTTAAATATAGCTGTTTTAACGCTAGGTAATTTTAAAGTCTCTCCAACAACGAGATTTATCGTATGCGCAAAACACGGCAAATGCTTCTTTTCACCAATAGATGTTCTTATGGCTGCTAACATAGAACTGGCATTATCTGTCACCACGGCACAAATTTTACTTTGTGATATATTCCAATTATCAAGAATATCCAGAAGTGTTTCCGATATATATTCAGCTGTATGTCTTTCGTTTAGCGCACGAGTGGCTAGGTAAAACATACACATTTCTTCGTTTTGTAGAAAATGTGCTGTCACACCTAAAAAACCTCGTTCGTTCATCGTTTCCGTCCAAATATCTAGTGTGAGACAAATATTGTCTATTTTTGACAATCTAGATCTAGCTGTAGCCACACAAGCCTTATATTTTTCTTGAGTCTTTTTTTTTAAATATTTTGCACCAGGCACTTTAAAATTAGGTTGCAGCTCCTTTATAAGACATAAAAAGTCTTCTCCTTCGACAATGTTAAAAGGCCGCATATCTTTGCAGATAAAAAAACCAAAGACTGAATTATTTTGTTATATATTGTACCTCCCTCTAAAATAAAAATTATTTTAAAAAAATTGCAATCAAATACAATGATTAAGTACTAAGAATAATTTTTTTACCTTTATTGGACGAAACTCGCGAAAAAGCCTCCTTTAAAGTATTTTGCAGTATCGTCTTCGTCCTATTTGCGCAATCATCGGCGTCGTAATCAATATCAGATTTTTCTTCTGATTCCGAATATTTTGATGTTGATGATGGCTGTGATAGGTTAGACATGGGTTCCTCAACAACTGTACTCGTCGATTTAGCGGACGTTGTTATACTTTTTGAACTGAAATATAATTGTATTTTATAATAGTTGAAGGATATCTACCATTGAAGTGCCCTTCGATACCCGATACTATTTATCGTATCTTGTAACTACTGTGACGACCCGATTAGCCGTCACTAGTCGCCCGCGCTCGTGTAAACGGCCCCTTTCGGGGCCACCACACGAATACGTTGGGAATCCGCCTTTTCGCCCCCACCCGTCACTCGACCCCCTCCAAGCTAGTCTTAGAGTGGGGTGGCCGACGGGTATAAAGAGCGGCGCAGCCGAGACTTCGACACCAGTCCCGTCCTGGTCCCTCGAGCGTACTCAGGGATCACTCCTCAACTCCCACACTCCAACTCACCCCGGCCGACGAGCGTTCTCGTCGTGCAGGCCGAGCGTTCTCGGTCACCGGGTCCTGTCCGTAACTCACCCCGGCCGACGAGCGTTCTCGTCGTGCAGGCCGAGCGTCCTCGGTCACCGGGTCCTGTCCGTAAATCACCCCGGCCGACGAGCGTTCTCGTTGTGCAGGCCGAGCGTTCTCGGTCACCGGGTCCTGTCCGTAACTCACCCCGGCCGACGAGCGTTCTCGTCGTGCAGGCCGAGCGTTCTCGGTCACCGGGTCCTGTCCGTAACTCACCCCGGCCGACGAGCGTTCTCGTCGTGCAGGCCGAGCGTCCTCGGTCACCGGGTCCTGTCCGTAAATCACCCCGGCCGACGAGCGTTCTCGTCGTGCAGGCCGAGCGTTCTCGGTCACCGGGTCCTGTCCGTAACTCACCCCGGCCGACGAGCGTTCTCGTCGTGCAGGCCGAGCGTTCTCGGTCACCGGGTCCTGTCCGTAACTCACCCCGGCCGACGAGCGTTCTCGTCGTGCAGGCCGAGCGTCCTCGGTCACCGGGTCCTGTCCGTAAATCACCCCGGCCGACGAGCGTTCTCGTCGTGCAGGCCGAGCGTTCTCGGTCACCGGGTCCTGTCCGTAAATCACCCCGGCCGACGAGCGTTCTCGTCGTGCAGGCCGAGCGTCCTCGGTCACCGGGTCCTGTCCGTAAATCACCCCGGCCGACGAGCGTTCTCGTCGTGCAGGCCGAGCGTCCTCGGTCACCGGGTCCTACCTGAAAGTCACCGGCGCCCGACGGAGCTCGCCCTTCTCAGGGCGCCCGTACGCGTGTCCGCGTTGGAAACTCTAGCAATAAGTCGTGTCCGCGTCCGTATAATCTGGTCGCGTCTCGTCCGTAATATTTCTATCCGTCAATCCTAGCAATAAGTCGTGTCCGCGTCCGTATAATCTGGTCGCGTCTCGTCCGTAATATTTCTATCCGTCAATCCTAGCAATAAGTCGTGTCCGCGTCCGTATAATCTGGTCGCGTCTCGTCCGTAATATTTCTATCTGTCAATCCTAGCAATAAGTCGTGTACGCGTCTGTATCATCTGGTCGCGTTTCGTCCGATTATACTGTGCTGTGTATAATGGTTTGAATCACGGGAGAACCACAGGAAGGTGGCCCCGAATAAACTCTACTTTTACCAGAGCAACCGTGTGTCATTGTAAATCTGAGTCTCCCCTCTTCCCGAATCCTGGCACCGACGAGCCGATCCGTGGCGTCGGGAAAGGTGCTTCGTTACATGGCGCCCGAACAGGGACCTGACTCGACCGTCTGAGACTCCGGTTTGCAATCCACATGCTTGGGTGGATCTACCGCCTAGATAAAGAGGAAGCCGTCCGATACCTCGCCACCCGCGATCTAGACCCAGAAGGGAGATTAATCGACCTCCGCCGCCGCATAAGAGACCACGTAATGGCCAATCAGCCAAACACCGGAGCGGCCGAAACGCTCCACGCACCGCTTAGCCGCGAAGAACGTTACCGGAGTGCACGCGGAACCCCCGAACCACCAGAAGCCGACCCGGCTAAGGCCCTCAACCAGATACGCAAATGGGGATGCCATTTTGATGGTAAGGACCCCCTCGCTTTCCTCGAGCATCTGGAGGAACTCAGTGTGGCCTATGGTCTGGAAGACCACAATCTTCTCACCGGTCTGTCCGAGCTGTTAAAGGGCGACGCCCTTCTGTGGTGGCGAAACACCAGAGAACAGTGGTCCACATGGGCCGGGTTCCGAAAGGATTTCTTGGCCCAGTATCTATCACCCGGGTACAAACGACAATTACGACGGGAAATACAAGGCCGGCGACAGAAGCCAGGAGAGGCGTTTACGCGATACGCTACCGCCGTACAGACAATGATGCGTCGGGCTGGCGGCTACACTAGCCAGGAACGGCTCGAGCAATTATACGAAAACGCCGACCCGGAACTCCAGCTATACGTTCGATTGGACGAACTGCACTCCGTTTCCGCGCTATGCAGTCGTGCCGCCGAGTGGGAGGAAATCCACCGGCGTCGCCAAGAACAACGCCGCGAAACATTACGGTCCACCGAGGCGAATCTTGCCGCCACTACCTATGACCGTGCGAGTTGCTGTTGGCGATGCAAACAGCGAGGGCACACACGACTCGACTGTCGCCGCCCAGCACGGAAGTTCTGCTCGCAGTGCGGGAAGGATGGCGTCCTAACGCGAGACTGCCACCCTCCGACGGAAAACGACCGGCGGGTCGGAAACGAGGCGGCCATCGTCCGACCCGCGTCCAGATAGAGTACACACCGCGGCCGCATTTACCAGTCCAGATTCACCGATTCAACACCTGGGCACTTCTCGATTCCGGATCCGAAGTGTCGTTTGTGAACGCCGCCATGGCCAAACGCTTGTCTGATCGCGGCCTCCAGATCCAGCCGTCCGAAGAACCGGTCAACTTAGCCGACGGCTCCAAGGCACCCACCTCCGGTTCGATCCGCTTCGCCATCCGAGTCGGCCCTCGCTCTGTCCGCCACCGCTTCCAGGTCCTGGATAACCTCAGCAGCGAGGTACTAATCGGAGTCGACCTATGGGCTCGGTTACGCATTACGCTGCCGCCTCCCCCATCCAACCGACCAGGGAGGACGGCTCCGGTCCAGGTGGCGTCTGTCTACGGCAAACTGTCCGCCGGAATCTCCCCACGCTCACCAGAGGAAGACCAGCGTTTCCGGCAGTTCTTGGATACCGAACTCCGGTTATTTGAGTCCGTGCAGGGGCCCACCGATCGCACCAAACACCAGATCAGATTGCGGCCTGGAGCCCCAATAAAGCAGAGATACCGACCCCGTAATCCGGCCATGCAGGCCGTCATTGATAGCGAGGTGAATAAAATGTTGGAAGCCGGAGTGATCGAACCGTCCAACAGCGCCTGGAGTTCCCCCGTAGTCCTCGTCAAGAAGAAGGATGGAGGACACCGATTTTGTATCGATTTCCGCAAGTTGAATCAAGCCTCCGACAAAGATGCCTACCCACTGCCGCACATCCTCGCTACCCTCGATAAGCTCCGAGGGGCCCAGTACCTTTCAACACTAGACTTAAAGGACGGATATTGGCAGGTGCCACTAGATCCGGTCAGCCGTCCAGCCACCGCCTTTACAATTCCTGGGCGAGGACTCTACCAATTTAAAGTCATGCCTTTTGGGTTACATTCGGCACCGGCCACGTTCCAGCGGTTGCTGGATAGTGTCCTCGGCCCGGAACTCGAGCCACACGTATTGGTCTACCTCGACGACATCATCGTAGTCAGCTCGTCACTGGAGACCCATATGGAACATTTGGCCGAGGTCTTCAGACGGTTGAGACAAGCGCGCCTCCGCCTTAACCCACAGAAGTGCCACTTCTGTTGCAGCCGTCTCAAATATTTGGGGCATATAGTGGACAAAGACGGCATTCGAACTGACCCAGACAAGGTCAGCGCGGTAGCCGCGTGGACGACCCCGACAACCGTACGTCAAGTGCGCCAATTCCTCGGCGTCGCCTCCTGGTACCGCCGTTTTGTACCAGACTTCTCCACCACCGCCGCACCGTTGACACGCTTGACCCAAAAAAGAGCACGTTTTGCGTGGGGACCAGAAGAAGAAAAGGCTTTCGACGAGCTGAAGCGGGCGCTCACCACCGCACCAGTTCTTGCTTGTCCCGATTTCAGCCGACCATTCACCCTCCAGACCGACGCCAGCACGTGTGGGCTAGGTGCCGTGCTCACCCAAGAACTATCCGAAGGCGAACGCGTCATTGCCTACGCCAGCCGTACACTAAATAGCGCAGAAAGGAACTACAGCGCTACAGAGCTAGAATGTCTGGCGGTAGTGTGGGGAATCCGTCGAATGCGCGACTATCTGGAGGGTTATCACTTCACGGTTGTCACCGATCACCAGTCGCTTCGATGGCTGCAGAGACTGGAAGCTCCCACCGGTCGCCTAGGGAGATGGGTATTCGAGCTTCAGCAGTACGACTATGACATCCGGTATCGTAAAGGAAAACTGAACATCGTGGCCGACGCTCTCTCTCGTCAACCCGAGGCCTGTGTCATACAAGCCGCTCCAGACTGTCAATGGTACCGCCGCCTTTATCACCAG